AGGCGTAGAAGGAGGACGATGATGATGATGATGATGACGATGATGATGATGATGATGATGATGATGATGATGATGATGATGCTGATGCTGATGCTGAAGCTGATGCTGATGATGCTGATGATGCTGATGCTGCTGATGATGATGACGATGATGATGATGACGATGATGATGATGCTGATGATGATGCTGCTGATGATGCTGATGATGATGAGGAGGAGGAGGATGAGGAGGAGGAGGAGGAGGATGAGGAGGGGCAGGGGGATGAGGCGGCGGCGGAGGAGGAGGAGGATAAGGAGGGGGAGGAGGGGGATGATGAGGATGATGATGAGGCGGAGGAGGAGGATGAGGAGGGAGGAGGGGGAGGAGGGGGAGGAGGATGCTGATGATGATGAGGCGGAGGAGGACGTGAGGAGGAGGAGGATGAAGATGCGGAGGATGATGATGATGAGGAGGAGGAGGATGAGAAGGATGGGGGAGGGTGTTAATTCTGATGGTGACGATCAGGAGGAGGAGGAAGCGGAGGCGGCGGAGGATGCGGATGAGGAGGAGTATGATGATGAGGATGAGGGGGAGGGGGAGGAGGGGGAGGAGGAGGAGGAGGTGGAAGCGGACGCGGACGATGATTAGGATGATGCTGATGATGATGATGATGATGATGATGACGAGGATGATGATGAGGACCATGATGCTGATGCTGATGCTGATGCTGGTGAAGATGCTGATGCTGGTGTTGACGATGCTGATGATGATGCTGATGATGCGGATGCTGATGGTGATGCTGATTCTGATGATGATGATGATGACGACGTTGATGCAGATGATGATGCTGATGGTGATGCTGGTGTTGATAAGGATGATGATGAGGATGCTGATGATGATGGCGAGGATGCGGCTGGTGATGATGATGCGGGTGAGAACGATGATGCGGATTGCGATGCGGATGACGATGATGATGATGATGCTGATGATGATGCTCATGATGATGATGCTGATGATGCTGATGATTATGATGATGATGATGATACTGATGACGATGACGACGATGCTGATGATGCTGTTTATGATCATTATGATGCTGATGCTCTCGATGATAATGATGACTACGATGCTGATGCCGACGACGACGATGATGATGACGATGATGATGATGCTGATGATGCTGCTGCTGCTGCTTTTGATGATGATGATGCGGCTGCTGATGATGCTCCTGATGCGGATGATGACGCTGATGATGCTGACGATGCTGATGTTGGTGATGCTGATGCTGATGCTGATTATGATGCTGATGCGGCTGATGAGGATGCTGCTGATGAGGATGATACTTCTGATGATGCTGAGGATGCTGATGCTGCTGCTGATGATGATGATGCTGATGGTGGTGCTGCTGCTGCTGATGATGATGATGATGCTGGTGATGATGATGATGCTGGTGATGATGCTGATGATGATGATCATGATCATGATGATGATGATGATGATGATGATGATGTTGTTGATGATGATGCTGACGATGATACTGCTGACGATGATGATGCTGATGATGCTGCTGCTGATGCTGATGATGCTGATGATGATGATGTTGATGCTGACGATGATGATGATGATGATGATGATGATGATGATGATGAGGATGATGATGTTGATGATGCTGATGATGCTGATGATGCTGATGCTGATGATGATGACGCTGATGATCATGATGATGCTGATGCTGATGGCGACGATGATGATGCTGCTGATGATGATGCTGATGATGCTGATGATGATGATGCCGATGAAGATGATGATGATGATGCTGCTGACGATGATGATGCTGATGATGATGATGATGCTGATGGTGATGATGATGCTGATGATGATGATGATGACGATGCTGATGATGCTGATGCTGATGATGCTGATGATGCTGATGATGATGACGATGATGATGATAGTGATGATGATGACGATGATGATGCTGTTGCTGCTGATGATGATGATGATGATGAGGATGCGGATGAGGATGAGGATGATGATGATGATGCTGATGATG